AACACAAATACAACCGTGCCCGTGGCGGGACTCGAACTACGCGATCCTTTGGTTCGAGATCGCTATAGCACTACTGCTTTAGCGATCTCCCCCATCCATACAATTTAAAAGAGTGTATTTCAATATTGTATCATTTCATCATGTGTTAATGGTGTTGCTTTGATTTAACTCATTAAAATGGGAAGTTTGAAACAAAAAGTTCATCTGAATGTTACTAGCTGTTGCAGCGGAGTAACTGAAGTTTAAACGATCTATACGTTCGAAATTGTTATTTAATAGAGTTTTACTCTATGAGCAATAAACTAGGTTGATTGAATATCTCCCTCTGCCGCACTGTCCATTTGATGTCGAACTAATCTGAGTTTTAACGGGTAGTACATTAATCATAAAGTAAAAATATTTAATAAGCAAAATTGGAGGTGTAATATGTTATTTTCCAGAAAACTATTAAGGAATATATTTGTTACGCTGAGTCTATAAAGGAAGTGTTCACTATTATTGCATTATGTTCTCCACAAATGTGTATGAGGAATAAGAAGATTTATTCATAGAACACAGTGGAATTTTTTGCAGCTGAAACATTAAATAAAGTTCCTTGAATTCTCAACTTCGACCACGCTGCAAAATTCAGTAGCCTGACCTTTCAGCCGCAAAGAGTGTAGGCAAAGTTGGGTTCATGTATGGAAACTGCATCTCTGACCTCACGCCGCGCCATGTAACATCATCCAGAGGCACGTAACGACATAATGTGCTTACCGTGTGTGCGATACCCGCGATTTAAGACTTACATTAGAAGTAATTTTTTTTTAAGAAAGATCTCATGGCAATTATCTCATGAAGCCTAGAATTTTTTAAGGCTGTTTAGTCTGGGTAAAACACTACCGGGTGTGCTGTGAATACGTGAGTGAAAGGTCAAAGCTCACTCTGTGATGTAGCGAAGAAGTGCTGCTGTGACAGCACATACTTTCTCGCGTTAGGTTTAACTTCGTCAAATTTAGAAAATTCAGAGAGTTAAATCAAAATCGAACCTGTAACGTTTACTTTTTCGCCCTTCTGCGGAGAAAAACGGCGAATTTTCGGTAGAACCCTTATTGCCGGGCCCTGGTAACGTGAGTGGATAAATCCAGTTGCTAAATTTAGAAAAAGATTCATCTAACACGTGGTGTAGCCAGTATCCGTTTTTGTTGGTCCTTGACACCGAAAAATCGAATGATTGCAAAAGCTGTCTGTCTGTCCGTCTTTGTACAACGCTAGCGTTCAGCCCATTTTCTCCGAAATTGATATTTTCAAATTTATCTTGCTAATGTCGCGGCCCCTTGAATGTGAAACCGATATTTTAATTTTGGGGTTACTTTACATGAAGTCCTTGGAATATTATCAAAATTTTCAAAAAAATTGCACCATCGCTTTGTATTAAATGTTGTTGTAGGATAGTGTGAAGGACGTTTGAGAGATTGGTACAGGTCTTTGAAAACTGATTTTTCACAAAGTACAAAACATCAAATTTTTTGGACGTTTTCCTAACTACATTTTTTTTGTGAAATGTGTTCATCAAAACAGTTCGTGTTTAATATGTCGAATATATGAAACGAGATATATAATAATATTCTTTGCGTACTTTTAGATGAAACATAGGCGCTTTTAAAACACCTTTCAACAATTTTCATACAAACGGCTTCAAAATTTGTCTTTCATTTTATTCTCTTATGTAGCAAATAACTGTTATGATAGTGGTATTTTTGACGCACTCTGCATTTCCGAAAATTGCAAAATATTCGGAATAGTAAATTCGAATTTCGAACGATTCGTTTCAGGCGTTGGCTTTTGGGAAATAGCAAATCCAGAGGTTTTAAAATTCTTCGAATTCATCCCATTATTTTTCGGTAATGATGATTGTATCACGTAGATAATATTTTTATGAAAGGAAATAGGTTGAAGGAAGGTAATAAATTTTAACTTAGAACTAACAAACGTCTATAATTTAAAAAGTTTTAGTCGCTGATAATAGTGTTATAAAATTGAAAGCGACTTCAAATCATTCATGGTAGGCGTGTGAAAAATTATGTTCGTTTCATTTCTAAAAGTAAGAAATGTCTTCTCGTCCTGACAATGAAACAATTACTGCACATGAGCATGAGAGTCTATTTGTTTGAATTAGATTTTCTCAAGTGATTACTGAGATTTTATTATGTCAGAATTTACAATATTTTAATATTACATAACTACTTTCAATGATGAATGAAAGTATGTGCTGTTGCAGCACATCGAGTTTTATCACAGCCCTTGCACTTAACGAGAAAAATATGAAAGAAAAAACTGGAGCCACTTTAGGAAATATTTTAATTGCCATTATTTAACCCAAAATTACGGGAAAAACTCCATATTTTAAATAATGTACACTCCATTACTTAAATATTAAATTTTTGCAAAAAGAAGTCTTCCAGAATGAACTTTCCATGTAAAGTAAGTAATTAACCCTATAGTCTGTTAGCGTCTATTTTCGACAGGACACGATCGGCAATCAATGATTGTTCATGTACGGGTCGATGTTTCGTCCGAAGTTGCCTAAAAAATAGAGGCAAATGAGACATGTGAAAGTGAAAATAACTAGGATATAAAATATTTCCCGCTGTTTTTATTGGCACAACATGATCCCTTTCTATCCCTCTATATGCCTTACAAGTTTGCAATGTTTCTCCTGAAACAGCCTGCATAATACGTCAAAATAAGGTAATAAATTCCAAGCTTTTTTTGTTTTTGTTTTTCTTAAAAATATTTTAGATTTTCTCTTCTAGTCAATTATTTCTAAAGGAAACAGGTCTTTATTAAAGAATCTACCACTTGTCATTAATCACGAGCGTACGTGCACACGAGGCAAGATAGGATGTCGAGCGTGATGAGTGTCTTCCCGTTGAAGGCATGGACACAGGTGGCCTAGTAAGAGTATATTTCTATAGAGGAGTGTTCCTGTCAAATTCAAATTATCGAGCGCGAGCGCAGTGGCGAGCGCAGTGGCGAGCGCAGTGGCGAGCGCAGTGGCGAGCGCAGTGGCAGCAGGCGCATTGAGCGAGCGCAGTGCGCGAGCGCGAAGTGGCGAGCGCATAGCTAGCAGGGCGAGCGCATGACGCGGCGCAGAGCAGCGCAGTGAGCGCGAGCGGCGAGTGGCGCAGCGCAAGTGGCGGAGCGCAGTGGGAGCGCAGCTGCGACGCGTAGCGCGGTGTGTCACCGTGCGCTCGGCAGGTGCCATGCAGCGCGTGACCGGCCGGCGTACTCCCGCCCTCCAGTACTTGAAGTAGACCCTCGGATCCGCAGTCGAGCAACAGTCTCGTCTTGCACGTCAACCCGACGACTCAGCAGCCCCTCGACCGCCGCCCGCCCTGCAGCGTAGCGCTCCTGTACCGCCGTGGAATCTGCACAGCACCAGCGCAGGGAATCTCCATGACACGCGAATAGGACAGATTCCTCATGCGCCAGGCCACAACCAATTGTTTCTATGAGCGTGGAAAAATGCCATTTAGCGTTGCAATATACGTTGGAATTGTATGCGTTTTCTGTATGGTTATACCAAATAAGTTGTTGTACACATAAGATCGCTACAGTTATAAAAATCGAATAGAACCGTGAAGTGAAACTTATAGTTGCTAAAAATACCGCGTGCAAATTTTACCCACAAATTATTTATGCCATGCCCAAATGCTACACTTCAAGAGCCGTGGATTGAAAATCAAATTATATTTTTTCCATACATATCAAGTAACTTCAACTTTTATAGCTTTTTTACGCTGGTAGGTGGATGAGATTAAAAAATGAATTCATGTTGGCATGCAGCTCTACCGGCTTCCCACGCGAACGTTGTAATGATCAGTTACTTTCATCGTATTGGATCCAAGAGGAAAAATATAAAATATTGGCCGACGGGTATATTTTATTCAAAGTCATCTTGATTTCGGACAAAGCATTTCATTATGAAATCAGTAGAACAAATATTTAATAATAACGAATTTTCAAATGCATAACGTACGACTTTCTACAATATGAATATAAAAAAATCAATTTATTGACGTCATCTCTATTAATAGTGTATTATCAATTTTTGTGTTATCAAAAATACAATTATTATTGAAATTTCTTGAAAGATATATAATGACAAAGTTCAATGGAAGTAAATAGCGACGAAAACTCAGCAAAGTAAATATGCGAGCTGCACATTCGCATTTGTGAAGTGGTTTTCCAAATGTGAGCACCAGAACGCGTTTATTGCGGAACTCGCTATGTCTGTGAGTGTATGTTGTGTATGATTGACTTGTGGTGTGGAAGTGGGGCGAGAGAGGGGCCACTCACTTGGTAACGCCTTCTCCATATAGGGCACCAGAATTTGTCCTTGCGGAACTCCGAATGTCTGTGCGGTGTGGGCGTGTGTTTGGCAGCAGGCGAGGGCCGACAAACTTGAGCGAGCCTCTCCAGTAGCAGCACCAGACTCGCTCCCTTGTGAAATCGAATGTTCTGCAGTGGCGCTGTTAGCTGGGCAACAGTGTAGTTGGTGGAGGGACGAGCGGACTCACTTGGCGAAGGCCTCTCAGAAGCGCACCCAAACTCGTCCTTGCAGAAACTCGAATGTTCGTGCCGGTGTGGGCGTATGTTGGATGTGTTTGCGCAAGGGGGAGCAGACTCACTTGGCGAAGGGCCTTCTCTGCAGGAGCGGTAACCCAGAACTCGTCCTTGCGGAACTCGATGTTCGTGCAGTGTGGCGCTGTTGCGGAGGGGGAGGGAAGACCACTTGGCGAAGGCCTTCCTTCCGAGCTAGCGGCACCAGCAACTCGTCCTTGCTTGAAATCCGAATAGTTCGTGCGGGTGTGGGCGTGTTGTTGGGGAGGGGAAGGGGACTCACTTGGCGAAGGCCTTCTCCAGAAGCCCGGCACCCAGAACTCGTCCTTGCAGGAACTCGAATGTTCGTGCTGGCGTGTGCGGCGTGCTGGTTGGGCAGGGCGGAGCGGACTCACTTGGCGAAGGCCTTCTCCAGTAGCGGCACCCAGAACTCGTCCGGGTGGGCGGCGCGCGCGTAGAGCAGTTGACCGCTGCCGTCGACGGGCAGGCGATCGTCGATGCGCACAGTCTCCCAGTGGCCCAGGCGCCAGAAGCGGAACGTCAACGCCCCGGAGTAGCCTTCGCCGCACAGCACTTGCCCCAGCGGGATGACCTGTAACACACACACGCACACACTAGCTCACTTTCTTATCCTTCTTTTTTGCTTCCTATGGAGCTACGTAAAGCGCTTGTTAATTTTTGAGACTTAAAATGTTTGTGTCCTCTTCTCTTAAGCGCGTTTCAGTATGGGTAAAAACGAAGGCTTAAAATTCAAACGATTTTTGTTGTAATAATTATTATAATCGTCATCGTAATCATAATCATCGGTAATACTGCGAGCTACGTGGAAGTGAACTTAGAATAGTTTTTTTTAAATATTTGAAGGCATTGTTTATTTCCTAATGTTAAGAAATAAAAATAAAAACTAGTAGTTTTAGAGGTCGCTGAATTTTGTAAAAAGTTTGTAAATTGAAGATTCTAATGAACGTTCTCAACATTCAAAACAATGTTTTACAATGTATTTGTGTCCTAACCAACAATTTAATAACAAACAATCACTTCGGAATGTGCGAAGAAGAGATACTGGGGGTGGTTGGCCGCAATATCCACTTATTCATTCATTTTTTCAATTCTCGTTTCCCTCCCGGCTCATGAGCATTGAGATGTGCCTACGTGTACTCCAGCGTAATAAGAAAATATATAGTTTTGTGAGACTGGTCTATGAGCTTCGTAAGACGTCTATTGATAGGGAAGTCATCATTCTCTGCCAACAATGTTCAAGGAATGTGCTTCGGATTTTGGGAAATGAGAGTTCCCGGAGGTGAGAGAGGGGAACAAAATAACCAGCAACAGATAGAAGTGTCCTATAACATAAAAAATACGTTTTATTTCTTATATTGGTGAGTACATAACATCGTTCATTAATCAATCCTCAAGTTCTCTAGGCAAAATAACAATTTTCCAACTACTCTGCCAAAGTAATGTTTTGATTTGTGGGAAGCACTGACGACAAGCGTGTTAATTGGCACGCAGTACGTAATACTGAAATAGAGGCCCGGCGGATAATGTGGGTGTGGTGGGAACACGAAAACTTCCGAGTGATAAAATATCCACTTGAAATTGGGGTGAGTGAAATATTCTATAAACGTCAAATTCCAGAAATGAACAAAGTTTCTCGGAATTGCATCGACTCAAACGGATATCCTATCAACTATGTTGCAAGATTGGCTCAATAGTTGCGATTTTACATGTGTTTAGCGACATGACCGACAACATCGATTTGCAAAAATTGTTAAATGAGCTTATATCAAAAATTGCAAAGTGTGATGCTGATTTTGCATTGCAAAAATGAACTTCTTTAGTTATATAAGTAAATGTGATAACATTTCCATGATAACCACAACCCATGACAATTTCAAAAACTTTTTTTTGTATTTTCCCCTCCATGCACATTTTTGGTGGTAGATGGGAGGGGGATGGGCAATTCTCAACCGGATCGACTACCCTCTCGGACTTTGCACTAATCGCCGGCCCGTATAAAATAGATCTATGTTTCTACGAAACTCGAGCGATGAAAGGAAATAATGAATAACGTAAAAGTCGTCGTATCTCTTCGATAGAGGCTTAGGGCACAATCCGTGACGATGATGACTTAATCTCTATTTTACCGAGTATTTTGATTTATAGATTCGTGTCATTTTTGCTGGATATTTCATGTACTTTTGATGAACACAATATTTATGAACGTTCCGCATCGATCATTTTATTCTCGTCGTATGGGTCAGCTAACAAGGAAAGAGGGGTAATTTGTCCTAAGCAGTGAAATTTTGGGGAGTGCTTTTTATTCTATCTTGTCCTGTTTCTTATTCACGCTGGCAACGATACACTAATGCTGCTGACGCTACATATAGTGCATGTGACGCTACACGTGCCTATTTATAGATTATGTAATTTTAAGACGGTCTTTTTTACATTTTGTGACCGTTTTGTGAGGGAGGAAATGTCGCAAACTCAATTTGAGGACATGAAGTTGCCTGCCCCGTGTTTGTAGCCCTTGTGATGGGGCGGAAGACGTGGCATGGCGTGTCGGGACGTGACACACTGAGGCGGGATGGAGTGGGGTGGGATGAGGCAGGTTAAGGCGGTGTGGAGTGGGGTGTGCGGTGAATGGCCTGGTGATTGGGGGTGGAGAGAGATTGGGATGGGCGGTTGCGAAGGCGTGTGTGGAGAGTGGTTGGCGTAATGTGGCGTGGTGGAAAGTAAAGCTCCAATATCAACAACAAAACATCAACGTTTTAAAAGATCCATGTTCAAAATTTAAAAAATCGACGTTAATAATCCGTCGTCCAAAAACCATCGATGTTCATAAACATCAATATTTTTGAAAGTGGTTTAGTAACCTTAAACATTAATGTTCGCATGAGGGATATTTTAATTTGAGAGAGACGTTATTTTATAATTAAGATTTAACCGAGGAAAAAATATTAATGAAGAAAACGGAGCCTGAAAGGTGGTCGCATAGGAGTATCTCAAGGGGAATGAGAACTTTCTCAGTTCACCGTAGAAGGATGCACGAAGAAAGGCGGCCCCTACGTCTACTGCACTTGAGCTGAGCGTCTCTCCGCTTGCGAAATTCAAGAAAAGGCGAGGCGTTGCAAATCACAGGGCATCGAGGTCATCTTTTGGGGGAGTGAGAGTCAGTCTGCTCGATGAAGGTAGTATAAATCACGTTTTCTTCGCTCGAACACATGAACAGACATATACTTATTTCATTTTTAACGTTTACACAGGTTTGATAATACAACTCTTTCATTCACAAACAAATCCTCGAAAACACCGAGTACAAAACGACGTTAAAAAACATAAACTTCAAGAAACCCATGTTTAAAACTTGAATGTTTTGAAAACATCGGTTTGATATCGTACCTGTTTGACGAGTTCCTGATTCTGCGCGACTGCCGCGCAGGCGGAGAGGAACCAGCAGTCGCCCAGCGCGCCCTGCACCACGTCGCTCCGGCTGGCGCCGCCCACGAACATGCGCGGCTTGGGGCTCAGCTCCTGCGCACGCACAACATGTACTTGCGTTTCGTTTTACGTTCAACGTGCGACAGGAATCAGGGGAGTGAGAGGAAATCCGATCGGTAATTTGGGTAACCTTTCAGCCGGGTAGGCTCCGTAGTAAGGCGTAAAACCGTTTTAAATAACCGAGTTCCGGGGTTCGTTTACAAAATATTACGGTTTAAGTTTTTATAGAAAAACGTCAGAGCTCTGTTTTAAAATGGTTGAAGAAGGCTTCCTTTTTCAGAAAATGTGTTCAGAAAATGTAGCAAATTGTGTCCTCAATTGGAAAAAAGGTATCCCTAAAAGCTAATGTATTACGAAACACGTTCAGTTCCTTGACTACGCTTCATTAAAAAACAAGTTGACTTTTTTTGGCTGCCTTTCAGTTCGTTATGAATATGCTTGGCTCATTATACAAGCGGTATTTAATATTCAATGCCTGAGAGAAGTGCGGGAATAAAACGATGCAAAAGGGAGAAGGCGCCCCGCCGGGATGTTTCGCTCACGTGCGGGCGTTTCCAGGCGCAGATCTTGAAGTCGTCGGGCAGCCCTGCCGGCAGCGCGTCGGCGTCGGTGGAAAAGTCAGGGTCGCGGAACAGCCCAGCCTCTCCCCCTGACCCTGCGACAGACAACTGCCACGCCCACAGCCAATCAATCGCTTGCAAATTGGCAGCATCCGGGGGCGACAAAAAGCGGTTCGCGTACACGGCGGCAGTGGCGCTGCCCCCGTTCGGTGCCTCTTGAAACTTTAAAATAAATATGTTATTCGACTTGCAGATTGTTTACTTACGTGTCCAGAGTCGGTGAATTGCTCTTTATTTCAGTCCTGTAATACACTAGCTGTCAAATTGTCACGTTAAACAACTGCTGCCGGCGAACTGAACAATATGATGATCACAAAAACATTATTTTATTGAAATTAAAGGAATATACAATGTATATAATACACAGTAAATTAATTTTACAAATCATCGTTGACAAAGCTACATGCCCCATACAATACGCACAGAGCAAGACACTTTCATCTCATTCTGCATTGACACTACTTCCGTTCAATGCTTCCTTCTACTAACAAAATTCTGGTCTTTCGATGGGCTCTCCACTGTCCTCACTCCTTGCAGACATTCTCAAGGACAACTTTGAAACACTCTTGCTTGAGATTAAACATCCCCTTCTTAAAAACTAACATACTGGTACCGCTACGTCGATATTTTATCTCTCTAGACCGGCACTACAAACCCACTGGAACTCTTTGTATGGTTTCTTAAATCCAGACACTCATCCATTAACTTCACAAGGGTATTGAAAAATGAAAATTTCCATTAATTTCTTAGATCCAATGATCTCTAGGGTAGACAACTAACACATTTCAAATGTTTTTAGAAATCACACACACACACACACACACATACACTGTCATTTCCAACACATTTTAACATTCACCTGCTAACAAACACTCTGCTTCCCATTCCGACTTTCATCAGACTTTTCCGATTCACAGACTTTTCAGCCTCCCCTATCACAAGACAATTTTCGAAAAGAAACACACATTATGAATTACATAGCTATCGCCAATGATTACAGTACCACTCTAAATGACAACATACTATGCCGCAAATTTAATAAGAAGAAACTGAGAACGTACACAAAGATCACCCCACTCACCCAGAAACCTCCAAATTTTATTTCATTTCCGTTCTTTGGGACAAAGTATTACCAAAAGTAGCTCACATTCTTCACAAATTTAATTTCCACGTCTCCTTTACCACACACGAGTCACACACGTTCTGTCGTAGTAAGCTTTTTTTGATGTGAGGACGCATGGAAATATTATTTTGAACATAAAGAATAAAATTTATCATTTTGTCAAAGGAAAGAAGTGTCAAAGGAAACCTGGCAATCGCGTGTAATCAAACTTTTAAAGTACTCAAAAACACAATTACACTAATAAAACATTAACACACGTAATGTATCATTGATAACGACTTTCATAGAAGTTTTTTTTACGTAAATACAGAATAGCCTTGTTTTAAAAATACAATGAAGTTAACTCATTTGTTTTACGAATATTGTATCGTAGAAAAGTTTGCTTAAAAAGAACTTAATATCAGCAACTTAAGATATATAGTATTTTCTTTGAATTAATTAGAAAATGAAATACTTTTACTGACAAATCCAAATTACTTGAATCAAAAAAGAGATAAGTTCGAAAAATGCGAAAATCATACAAATGTGTAACAACAAGTGTCACTAAGTAGGTGCTGAAAATGTATTTGATGTGTGAGATGGTTCGGATCTATCAAGATCTCAGAATGTTAACTGGCAGAAGAGACGCCCAGATCTACTACGCAAAGAGGTCTGGGGCAGTAGAACCACTGGGGGGCCTTTATTTCAAACAAAAGTTCCGTTCTCCAAAATATAAACAGAATCGATTTCTCCATGCAACAAAAAATCACAGTTGTTAGTTTGTATTAGAAGGAAATACCTTTTGTGTTTGCTTTGAGTGATATGAAATATTTGGGGCTCCAATTAAGTCATGGCATAGGGCAGGTTGACCTAGCTGCCCCTTCCTTTCTGACTTCAGCCAAAAAAATAAGCTGAGAAACATGTTTAACGTGCCCTTTCCATCGAAAGAATTAACATTTTATAGTATATTTCCTACATTATCACACTGTGGATGACGAAAACAACGATCAAAAATCTTTTGGGTATTGAACATTGATTAGATAACTTGAAATTTTAAATATTCTCAGTATCTCAAATACATGCATTGTTTGTCACAGAAACTAAATATCAATACATCATTTCATTTCAAATAAATTGATTGTATTGTTAATTCCAGTAATAAACATGTATCGGATCCATATAGGTTGGCTCCCAAGAATCTATGTTGGCACGATTATTTTGGAAGTTTTTTTCGAAATTTCATGAAACTATAAATGTTCCAAAAAGAAACAACGTGATGTAGCTCAGAGATCAAACTGTATATTGTCTTGAACTGTGTAGGGAAAGAGAAAAATATCAGGAGTCAAGTAAAGTGAATTCTAATCACGAAAACAGAAGAGGGCAAGAAAATGTGAACAGTTTTTCCGTGAACAAGATGAAATTAAAAGTAATATTTCTGTATGCCATTCATTTACACACAGAATTTAAAATCACCACGAAGCATTATGAATAAATCATTACCGTGTTGCATATTTCATGGATATTGTTATACAAAAATTCCACGAAAAATTACAACTGCACCTCGCATTAAATCTTAAACCTTCCGTATGAAGCTGGCGGGTACACCAGAGCACTCACCTCAAGCTGCGGCATGCCGATTCCTGGAAGAACAAGCGAATTGGCGAGGGACCCCCGACGGCCTCCCTTTTATGCTCTCTCGCCCCGCCCGCTCACCCAGCGCGCCCATGACCTTCCCTGCTGCTCCTGCTCCTGCGGCGCAGCGCAAATTGCCCAGCCAATCACCGCCCTCGCCGACCAAAAAGGCGCTTGCGGTGCAAAAATGAAGAAAACGCATTTCGCAATTATGAATCGTCACTCACATGTCCGTACTTTTCGTCAATGATAGGGATCTTCTCGGCGTGACGAAGGCCTTTTTAGAGGCACATTGTGCATCCCCCTACACTTGCCTTTTGAGGTTCGGTTTTTATTTCCATACCTTGGTCTGCACCTTCCGAACAAAAACATCACATCAATGATGATGCGAAGAGGAAGTTTGATGTACTTAAATTGAAGAGGATGAATAAATCTTGTTACGCAATATATAAAACGAACAATACAACGAAGAGAGAAATAATGCTAATTCTTTTAAGTTATTCCATCAAATTGAATACGTGTGAAACATTATTTATTAAAGGAAAATGTATTTTCAAATTAACATTTCTCTATGGACGGTAAGTTTATTGACAAATAAAATATTGTTCTTGATTTTGGCCTTAAGAAGTCTTGTAAAACACAGATTCATATTTTGTTAAAGGTTTTTAGTGAAGATGGTCTACATTTTGTTGGTATGAATGTCATTAAAGTCACAAAGATCTGTACGTTGCTTCTTTTGATAAACTTTCACCGCCAACATCTCGCCGGGAAGAAATGTTTATTTGAAAATACATCTAAATGTTTCACATCGGGCTACCTTGCTCATACAGTACATAACTGACTACCTTGCTTATACACTATTAACTAATATATCTGTCACTGAGGAGATTCGATTCGTTTTGTACAAAACAGCGAGTATCTGTTTTGAAAATTCGGAAGGATTTCAAATTTTTCTAAACACGACAGCCGACACACCAGTCATACTCCTTAGACTATGACAAAGCCGAGCACCTGCAATGAATCCAACCTGAGAGTTAAGTTTCAGCTCGGCCCCACCCACCAGAATGCAATTTATTGTTAATACACCACGGGTTTGTAAATGGATCGGCGACGTACACGTAAAAATAAAGAAATTTCACACTTTTCCCGACTAAAAACAACTATTTTCAGTGAATCTTAAGTTGATTTGTTATTATATAATTAAATTATTAAATTTTAATATATGTTAGGAGATTAGCTGGATTAGATCAATAGGTTCATTCCTGAGGGAGAAGTAGAAGAATTAGCAGAAGATGAAGAAGAAGAGGAAGGAAAAGAATTGAAAAGAGGAGAATACAAAAAGGAGAGGACGAAGAAGTAGAACTAGTAGAAGAGGAGGAAGAAGAAGAATGCGATAAATGCTTCCCTCGAGACAAACGGCATACAACCTCTGTCATTAAAATACATTGCAAGAATTTTAGTCTCAACTTCATGAAATTCAAATATACAATTTCTCAACGACCACTTGTCTCTTACACAGAATATTAGTCACACGTGTTTGTACCTAAATATAAGTTTTCTACTGTACTGTCATTTAAACTGTCGTTAATGCTAGGACAACTTAAATTCACAAAATGGTTTCCCAATCTTCTTTCATCACAGTACTTATTTGCTATAACTTCTTATGATTGTATCTAATAATTCTTTAAAATATTAATGTGTTGATGAATAATGATGTCAACTCTATTTTTGTGCCCCAGGTTTGAGGCCGATCGGACGAGACATGGTGTCAATAACTTCAAGGAGAGACGACAATGCAGTCGGTGTCTCAAATTTTTGACGGGCATAAACTTGTACAGTGATGCACAAGAAAAATGTATAAACTGATTAATACTATGTTATGAATGTTCTCATCCCAAGTGTCATCACACTCCATGTAATCATAGGGTGCGTCGACCGCCTGCGCGCGAACCCGCATCGACAATCTCATAAAATGCAATGCCCCTCGGTCGCCTCCCACTGCCCTGGTTGGTGTCGCGGTTCCCAGTGGACTCAGCGGACCATCAGCTGTCCATTCATCCTCCCGCCATCGCCATCCAGTGTTGTGGTCGGTTTTCCACTCGTTGCGGATCACCCGCACCAGCGTTGATCTTCATCTGCTAGTCAGCAGTGCATGCTTCACAGTCGTTTCTGATTTTCTTTAATGATTTCCAATTGATCACCCGTAAATTTCTCGGAGAACGTCTCACTTTGGAGTTCTTGCGCACTCTCTGCACCCGCGTTGTTGTAACAGTCCGCACCCTCTCATGAAACTTCCGCTTCTGTTCTGTAGTGTGTCTTCTCTTGCCTCGCCCTCCTAGTCGATATCTACTTGTTTTCTGTCTTTAAGAGCATCGCGTCCATTGCTATTGGTGAATTGTAATCAGGTGACGTCATATCCGGATCGGATCCCGCCGCCTCTGTCTGTAGGAGCATCGCTCAACCCATTAACGCCTGACGACTCATTTGAGGGGGTTCCGGCGTTCGCGCGAGGATCAGGCGTTGATGGGTTGACAATGTCCGTCTTTGTATCGCCATTCCCTTGGCGTTATTAGGCACTCTAAATCATCCGCTGCACGGTGACGGATATTCTTTGTCTGCTCGAGTGCATGCTCCAAAGATAACTGTGTCGGGCGTTCATGAGTTGCTGTGTTTATTTGAATTCAGTCGCGTCCTCTGCTGGGTATTAGTGATGACCATATTTGTCGCTTAAGCAACAATCGTAAAGATATGAAATGGAAGATGGCGTTGCACTATGTATTAAAAGCAAAGGTGCTTCTTATGTTTATATTAATTTTTCTTATAAAAAAAATTGAGATTACGAAAAGTATTCAACGACACACGGACGATATCACACGTAATCACAAGTTGGTTAGTTATAAACCTCCCCTATCACCTCGGCTTACAAACTTCAAATTTTAATAAAAAATAGCTACTTTTTAGAAAAAATTTAAAATGTCCTTGAGACTTCATGTACAGTACCATCAAAAGTTAAAACACCGCTTTGAAATTCAAGGGTCCGTCACATCAGCCAGATGGAATGAGAATTACCAATTTTCATGAAAATCCTGCTTACGATTGAGCCACCGGCAATGTTCACAGTCACAGAGAGGCCGAAAAACGGGTAGACAGGCTGACACTTCTTTCCGTAAACCATTTTTCTGTATCAAGGAATACCTGGATTCTGTCTACATAATGTGTTAATGACACGGTAGTTCGACATTTATAGAGTTTATTATCATTCTTAAGAGATAAATTTTTACACTGCATGGAACGCAGTTTTAGATTCTCCAATTTGTGTTTACGTATTACCTTTTAAAGAATTAGTTTTCACACATCATGTGCAACAATTGATAATGAATTTTACAAGTGATGGCTGAGATGTATTCATATGGTAATAAGCGATGTTTATCGCCAGATATAAACATGGGAGCCGTTATTTAAGGCGACAACAGAGGTCCCCAAATTCTGTAACTCACTTTGCATATGGGCTGGTGCACTGTCCAGGGAATGTCGAAATGACCGCATGCTTTCGAAACTTTTGAGGCGGCGGTATACCTAAGGCATATAACAAAAAAGTATTGTCGTCCTATGTTTTGGAGCGTTTACTTGATACAATGCCAACACGCATAAACTCCAACGCATCTGGCGATGATGTAATGTAAAACTATGTTTTCTCTGATCTGCTTCTATATTCCAAGTATTCTAGCTATCTCCTCTCTGAAAGTAATCTTCATTTCCCCTATCCCTATTAGTAGCGAGGGTTTGTCGAGATCTCAAACTTTTGTTTTATTGATTTCACAACCGTCATCGCAGTTGAACTAATTGTCTTTCCCTGACCACAACGCTCTCTTAGGCGAGTAATCAGCTCATTTCGTCGCCAACCGCACATCGAGTATCAGACCTTTGCGCGAGCGGAGATGAATTCAATTATTTTAAGGTGAACAGTATCTCATATTCAATAAAGCTATTATTTCTGCATTTATGGTCACGAAATTAGGCAATGAAATCTGAGAGAAGTGCCAAAAATGTTCCACCTTTACTTGTAGAAAGCATACAGAAAGCTTGAAATAAATATCACAGTTCAATCTCTTCCACAAACTACTAGAAATTAGTGTATCTGTGTTTAGTAAGATTTTTTTGACTACTTGTATTTTAAATGAAATAATTGTTTTCTTTTATATAATTCAATGAAAATATTACGTAATAGGTGATCGTTAATTTTAAAAAAATAATATAATAGTACCATTTGTACACTAGAGACAATGAAAGTGAATATTTTGAAAGGTTAATAACTGAATATTTTTGGTGTGGTTAACTAAGGTTAATAGTGCTTCAATAAAATTAATGCACAGGATGCTAAGAATCAGACAGTGTTTCATAAACAAAAATGTTCATGTTTCATAACAAAATGCAAATTGTACAGTTAAGAAGAGACTTTTATAGTCGTCCTAAATCTTGGCCGGTTAAGAGAAATCAGCTGCTCTCACGGACACTTGGTGACAACGCATATGAGTTGCGAGGCACCGCGTTAACTTCTACATGGAAACGGAGGCCAACAGAATGCGCCTTTCCTTTTGCAAGTAATGGATTGTTTTGTTACACTGTTCCTATGAGTTCATCCCCCTCTGATGAGCCCAACCTTTCAGAATATTATGAAAGGCAATTGAAAGGTTTTGCGCATGTTGCTGAATCCATATAGCTGTGTGTGAAAAAATCACAACTTTTACGACCCTTGTTTAATACATACCATTTTAATTCTTAGGAATGACTTGCAAATTTCTGCACAGTGGTACGTAACCTGCCTTTGATGATGTGTTACTTTGAATAGGATGAGTATATTTTGTGCACACAAGTAACGATAATTAATGTCATGATTGTAATTTTTTTGTTAAGGAATTTTGATTTATAATCGATATTTCTTGCTACATTAACCAAACATTACGTCCCAAATTTGGAACGATGTTAAGGTCTTGAATGTGGTCTGGGTTCCTATCCTTTTGTAAACTGTAATTGTATCAAACTGAAATATGTTGGTCGACTGTAATGTCTTCATTAAGGAATATACGAATTACAAATCTATAATACATTATACCTTGTATTCCATATAATTAATAATTAAGTCAATACAATTATTCATGGCAAAAACAAATTATGCAGTCAGTTATGTTGCAACAATGACTTAAATAGTGACTATTATATGGATTTAATTTTTTGCGAAACATTGTTTGCTCCTATTTTTAGAAGATTTTTCGCTTGTGGTTTCTCTAGCTATTATAAACTTTTAGTTTCATCCGGCCTAGTAACATTGTACTGCAGTGCTCACTGCCGTAACGTTTATAAAAATATATTGTAATAAAAACACATTTTTAATTGGAGTTTAATTTCCAGATTAGCACGTGCGGGAACATGTTGTGTTATTAATAATGCTTGTTTTATAATACCCCATTTTATAGAAAAAACACTAAATTATAATATCTTTAAAATAATCGAACAAGCGCTTATCTGCTACTAATTGTTCATTACTTAATTTTTAAAACTAACTTCAGTACATTCATGATAAAATACAATGCTATAACCTCGTGCATTGTGAGGCTATACGTGGTTGGCTTAGTATAGATAGCGAAAGTTCGAAATGTTTAAATGCAAAGGATAGTAAATGTATGTAAACGAAATATCCATCACTCGTCTGACACAAATGCCCTTTACAAAAACGTTCATCGAATATAAATAATTATGTTAGTGGCGCGCCCACTAACATAAGAGAGTTATTGAGTTATTGAATCTCCTTTCTCAGAAGCCAATGAAATAAATTCAAAAATTTAGCTTTTACTATTTTTTGTACTAAAGAAATCATTCAATATATTAATAATTTACATTATAAATATTAAAATATTAATTACAATTCAACGAATAAAAATGCACTTTATAATCAGCTTAAATGAACAATTCTTGAAAACATCAATTCGACTAGACACCATCGGCAAAAACTCCCCCTTCACATAAAAAGTCTGGGTGGCTCTCTGTATTTGATGTATTACGTTTTAAAGTTAAGTTCGATGTTAGGACTTTATGCTATAATTCACTTCAACTTATTAGTACATTAACTTGGAACACATAAAACATTTCAGAAAAAAGTTTAACTCTATGATCACTGTGAATTCTCTTAGTTATGATATAAATCCAGAATTTGTAAATCTCCCTTATTTCATTAGTCTTGGATAATTAGTACTCAACGAAATGCTACAATGTGTTTGAGGTTTACGATGTTCTTTATAGTGCATGTACTACTTGGCTGTTATAGCCTTCCTACAGCTCATCCTTTTGTGCTATATAATCGCAAGAGTTCAGCTAATCATAGTTTTAAAAGAGAAAACAGCTTCGTGCATTAACCTAACTCGCAAGTGTGCTTTATTGCATTATACTCTTAGTATTATGCCTGAGTAAACATTGTACTATTGCTAGATGTTCAGATTAAATTTTACTGAAAATCAAATAGTCGTTTAATTGTATTTTAAAAAATTATTTCCCTTTCCTACCAATTTAAATTTCCGAGATATTGCTTGTATCTGAAAGCGCACGCTGCGAAGAAGCGGACCGCAGAAGAGCTTAATTTCAATAGAAGGTTCAAAAAGACCTCACTGTGTACAAAACTTTTAAGAACCATAACTCAAACCCCTCTTGTTCCCCACCTTTACTTCTCTGACCCTCGCCCGACTCCAAACTGACCCCTGATATTTCTCTGCTTCCTACACATATCTCGTATATGATCGTCCGTAGGTCGTATTCCTTATAAAAACTGTCCTGTTCTCACTAAAGTTTTACACCTGGTTTCAAGGGCCACGGCCGAGTGTGATTGTAATGTGTGTTGCGGTAACCTTCAAACTTCTATTTTTTCGTCTTAAAACTGTTTGATGAAGGACTGAGAATAAATTTGCTATTTATCAGTAATTACAAATACCATAATTTACACTCAGCATATTACAGAAGACGTACTTCAATTTTCCTAATGAACAAATATATTAATATATTTAAATTTAGAAATATTTAATTTCTAGCACAACATGAACGAGACATTTGTTTGTAGTAATATAGATTTTTCCCAAGTGTTTTTATTTTCACAATAGTTCGCTGCGAAAAACTACGCGTCAAAGTAATGTTAC